TAGGCTACGGATTTACAGCTTATCATAAGGCTGGGCGTAGGCTTGTTTGCCACCTCGGTGGTACAGAAATAGTATATAATACTTAAAAATTATATATAACAAAGATTGAAACAATAAGGAAATGCTTATTTAATTGATATCAATTTAGATACGTTGTGACGCTTCGATTATCTAAACGGAATGTGATCGTAAGATCAAAAATAAGTTTTGATACATATACACACCAAGAAAAATGTAACAATAATGAAGTGGAACGTCTTTCTCTGTGAATCCCTGTTTGTAGAAATGTTAATCATCATCATTATATCAGCCGTTTACTGTCCGCTGCTGAACATACGCCTGCCTGAACATCCCGTAGGTTTACCAGTAGTTGCCACGCTTGGTAACCACAGTTAGGTTTTGATGATGTTTTAAGAGGGACACTGCTGTCCATTCCTCGACTATTTAGTTCCTTTAGTCACCTCTTACGACATTTTTTAAATATAAATACAGTATATTAAAGAAATTTCGGTATTAGAAACAAATTCATAGATTTCATCTCTCATTTTTATTATAAAAGGTTTCCTTCCTTAATATTAAATGTATATTGGATTAAAGTAGTGGTAGGTAATAAGAAATGAAGCATAAGCTTTAGAATTCCACTATGTAAAGTTTTGCAACGTATTTATTTTTTATTAAGTTAAAATTTCCAGAGATCAAAGAATTTGAATTAATCAGGTTAGTTGATTTTAGTAGATATGGGACATTATAAACGTGTCTTGTATAGGTTTTGTTAATAATAATTGTATTTATATAAAATCTAACAGGAAAACTTTTTACGTTTATATTCGTTTTTTGAGAAGTGCGTCAATTTCAATCTATAAATTTATGTCCCACTGAATTCTTTAAGATTTGATGTTAATTTGATAAAATATTATTATATTAACGTGGATTGTACTCATTTATATGAATTAGTGGCAAGTAGATATGTATTTAAAGTACTGTTTATAAATATCAAATGTTATTGTGCGAATTATAATGTGTGTAAAATTACAATGCAGAGTATCCCATCACTAGGTCTGTATCATAACATTATAAAATGTTTAGCGTACTTATTACTTTAAGAAATACACAATAACGGTTTAAAATTGCTTTATATATAAAAACATAGATCTTTTATTTAATTTAGGATACAATATCGAGAGGGTTTCATTAGACATCAATTCATTGAAAATTTTTCTCTAATATATAAACGGATGTAGAAACTAACCCATGCATACGTAATTAGAATTAAATTGCCAGGACAGGTAATTCATGTATTACCATTTATAGTAAATCAACAATCTACTACCAGTGTAGTATATTTTTATGAATGATTCGTGACGCGTTTAGAGCGTGGACTATTTCGAAACTAATCTTGGACTTAGCTAGATAAACTTTGACTAATTAAATATATAAGCACTTCTTGCAAATATTAGAAATCCGAAAATGAGTTTGTTCATTATACGGCTTAACCAAACATCTTGAAATGTGGTTTCCAATGTTTAATAATTAAGATAAAAAGATTCAAAAATAGAAGAATGGGCAAGAGAAGAGGAAGGCCTAAAAATTATAGATGGACTATATGAAAGAAAGCATGAAACAAGTTCAGTGAATCAAGATCAGAATGGAGGTTAAAACTTACTGTACAGACTCCAAACAATGGATAACGGCCTAAAAATGTTGACAATGAAGTCATTAAAAAAAGGCTTTATAAATAAGTCCTTTTTTATTTTAAAATAAAATAAAGAAAAATATTAGTACAGTTTATTGATAGAGGTTTTGTAGTGTTAGCATTACGAGTATTTATATATCATTATTGTTAATTTTTGAAAGTCATTGTTACGATTTTATTAAATTTTACCTGTTCCATTATGACCAATCAAATCTTGAAATTAAATTTGATCTAATTCTCGGTGTTTAATTGAGCTGTAATATTTCAAAGCTGAATGACGATGTATTATGAATGAATGGATATAATGTTTGAGTGGCAATGCACGAAGGGTATCATGGGCGACACAGTATGCTCTGCTATGTTCAAGGTACAGTTCATGTCTACAGGCGATGGTTATCACTTTGCCTTAGATGTCTGTCTGTCAGTTTGTTTTCAATTATAAGTTTATAAAAAAGAAAATATATATTATCTGTTGAGTGGTGAGCTGATCATATGCTGCCGAAAGGTGGCCATAATAGTATTATAGCATATGGTATTATTATAAAGATATAATAATACTACATAAACCTTTCTGTTTAAAATCGTTTGAACATGAAAGTAAATGTATCGTTGGAAAAAATCTATTCAAAATTGTATGTGGGTAGTTGTATTGTGTAGGTACCTTTTTTTATTTGAAATTGGAACTCGTATAAAAAGTAATCGTAACGGGTTTACCATCTATTGAATTTGAATATTTGTTTTATTGTCACTCAATATACTTACTGAGATGTCAACTATTGTATGATGATTTTGGGTCAAACAAATTGACAATCGTTTCCCTCGATCTTTTATTAGCCGACTATCAATTGAGCTACTTTTACTTATTCAAATGAAATTTCGTGATTCGTGTAACGGTGTCCGTACTTTTATTTTCTATGACACCGGTTGATATGTACGACCATAAAGAATTTAAAACAATGTTATATGTCAAGGTGACTACACACAAATTAAAGTTATTCTCTCACAATTCGGACAACTAACGGTCGTACACAATGCACTCGCGGTTTCAAATAAAACTGTGTTCTCACAATTGGAACAACGAGAATAATTAGCAATTTACTTAATAATTATTTTTAAAAGCCATAGATTTTAATAATTACATGACAAACTAATTTAAATGATAATAATTATTAAAAAAAAATATTTCTTGTACTTTTTTTTCTTGTAATAAAATTGTCTCCTGTTTTATTTTTAAATTATACGTATGAAGAGATAGACTAATATTAAGTCCAGATTAATCTTACAAGTAACCAGGCCAAAGTTGGAAGACTGAAAGTTTATATTTATCTATTTTTATACCAAGCAAGTTCTTTGTAGGGTAAAAATGTATATTGTATAATTTTAGATATGGATTCTATCACTCCAGAAACCTGTGCTTTAGAGTTATTGAATTGTATTTTGGAGGTAAGGTAAATGATATAATATTTACATTTTACCCTCACAAATAAACAAGTGAAATTAGAATTACCAAAAAATTTTGAGACCTTCATATTAATTTAATTGCGAAACTTGTAGGTAGCTGAAAATATTTTTCGTTTTCCGACCCACATTTTTTTTCGATCACTGAATAACAGTTTTACTAGTAGAAAACTTTAATTAAACCTAGTAAATTTAATGAAACAATTATGAAAAATGTACAAATTTGTTCGAAAATTTATTTTCAAATTTTGTACAAGCAATTTTGTAATATAAAATGTAAAACGCATCGCATTCACAGAGGTAGCTAATAGGACATAATAAGACACTTGATTAATGTAACATAATTTATGGCCACTACAAATCAATATGCATAAGATATTTCTTACAAGATAAATAAGCAATGCTGTTAGGCCTTTGCCCTGTAGTGAATATTTAATATTAACTTTTTTTTGTTAATTAAGCTTTTGCAATATACTATAAATTAACTGTACAAATAACGCAAGCTGCCCATATAAAGGAAACCTTGTATAATTAGGTATATACTTTTATACCTGTACCTACCCTCTTGTTTCGCATTGCAGAAAAAAAAACACGAGGACAAAATTAATAAGAAATTAACATGGGATAACACGAATCAATTAAAATAAAATTATAAAAATATTATGAGAATTCAATTTTCTAAAGTTATGTCTTAAGCTAACATTTTAATTTAATAATTTCTATCTCGACCCCATTGTTACATTTTAGGTATTCTAACTGTACCCTAAGTTAACGACATTAATATAATACACAATAGCCTAATTTATAAAAAATAAAATCTGCTATTTTTCTTTATTTAAAAAAAAAATATTCAAATACATTCAAATCAATGTTCTTATCTTCATTGAATCTCTGACGGTAACGGCCCTTGAATACAGCCATCACGCCATCTTAATAGTATTTGAATCTACTTGATCTTGAAAGAAAGACGTCAGAATAAATATGATATTGATCTGTATTGATGTTGATTCAGAAACAAATTTACAAAATATCTACGTAATCGGTACATAATATATACCTAAACCCTTATTCGTAAAAATGGTAAAATATGTCATAATCCTCTTTTAATTATGAACATTTTTTATTTTATTTTGTACTAAATTCATAGAAACGATAGCGATAAAATAGTATAATAGGAAAAATAATTTTGGTGAAGATTATTCTTTTTGTAAAAAAAAGACGATTAATAAATAAATACTGCGGGTAGTGACTGAGTGATACCAATAAAACGTCGCCTGGCCAGTGTGGTATTAATAGCCCACATATACATCCTTCTGTTATGGAGAGATACCATTGCTGAGCAATGGAACGTTAATGGGGTATTTCGGTTAAGGTGAAATAAATTGTATGTGATATCGTGATCAGATTAGGTTGTATTAATTTTGTGATCACCATTTTACTGTACCTACCCTCTATATTAATTTATTGAAATCGTTTAATACGTATATTGATTGTAATGTTTATTGTTTTGGATAATTGTGGAAAATATAATATGGAAGGATATACATAATAAAATTAACATAAGTTTTTAAAAATAAAATTGTGTTACGTAAATATAATATATTAATGAATACAAAAATATTATATTTAAGTACCCTCAATTTTTAGATTATAATAAGTACTTATCTAGAAATTTACTATAATAATATAATTTGAATATTTACTACTATTATTTTTTAATTGTTTTTTTTTAATAAAAAAAAATTACGGCTATGATATTTTATATTCATCTATACTAATTTATTTTTGAAACAGATAATATAGAAAAAAAAAATAGAAATTAATTAGAAAAAATAATTAAAAAACTTACCTTGCGTCCGCTTGGGTACCACTCGCACTCCGATCGCTTTTTCAGTCACAAGACACAAGGATATTGCCAATAAACAGTACCTCGCACTGCACCCCATGTTAACACACAATGTCTGCCGCCTCTCAGTTCAAAATATTATGTATAAGGCCACTGAAGCACGGCGCATTTGATCGTCACGTTGTCGGCTTTAATATTGAAACACGTATGTAACCACTTAAACAAACGGTATCAACACGCGTCCGACGATTGTCGACGAACGAGTGAACCGCCCGACTACCCTATATTTTGACTTATAGCAATTTGGAAGTGCGAATTCCACTTGTATATAAAACCTTTCGCCGGCTCTAGACGGGCGGTCATTGGTCGTGGTGCGGCGTGCGGCAAAGGTGAAGGGAGTTGGAAGTGGCGCCCCCCCACGCGCGAGGGGGAAACGCCAGGGTCGACACCGCAGACACTTTTGCTATCGTCGGTGCACGATAGTTATCATGCTGCACAGGCCGTCCCGTTGTACTCCGTTTCTTACGTCATATGCGCAAGCGCCGACGATAAGTTACTGTGATACTTTTTTTTTGCGAATAGCTACGAGTAAACTTTGCTGGGTAATGTAACATGCAATTAGCATTGTTGATAGAACAATATGATAATTAGTGATATTGGTAGAATTAAGATTTAGAGAGGAAAATCTCCCACGTTTCGTTAACTTACTCAATTTTAGTAGAATCGATACCAAGAATCTGAATAAAAGAAAAGAATACTGATAGAAATGTCAGTTTAGTAGACAGTGGCAAAGGTGGACTTGCTACTATGTACTGGCAGTCCATTATGCACAGTATGTAATGCAAGGTGAAAATATTGTTGTTTTTTTATGGACGTTAATGGAATAGTAACCTTGCTTGCGGCATAGACATATGCTGCTTTTACATAATCGGTATACACTGGCGGGGGAACTAAGAGGGATAATAATAGGTGAAGATGAAAGCAGGCCAGTTAGCCCATTGTGACAAATTCTTTAAGAATTTACCAAGACGACTTCCAGGAGAAACTGCGTGGAGTATACTGCTAGGAAAGGGGCTTCCTGTTACTATCAACGCCTTTTCCCTCCCTGAAACAGTTATTAATCAATAAGATGATCCGTCAGCTTGTTTGACATTCTATGTATTATTAAAAAAATTACTTAGTTCATTGACCAGCCACGGGGATAGTTAACTATAATATCGATTGTCTATAGGTTACGCTAATTTCCTGATATAAGGAAGACTGTAAGTTTGATTACCTGTACACTGTAGATTTGAAATACTGAAAATCTGAAGACTGTAGATTTGATTTGATTGATAAGTTTATAAAAATATTCTAAGACTAACTTCCCTCAAGACAAGGTACAAACGAATCAATCGATAGAATCGTTTCGGTCAGCGCTCACATGAGAAAGAACAAGACGGTACAAGTCGCTATCTCATTCTACTTTATTAAATCGTTAACGAAAATGATTCTATCAATATATTCGTTTGTACTTTGTCTACAGGGCCTGACAGATTTCTTTGCTACAAGTTCATGGATATACCTATGGTGTATTAATTTTTTTTGTGTATAATTTTTTCTTTGCCCGCCCTCTTTAGAAGAAAACCTCTGTACAAAAGTACGAATAACATTCCGACTTGTCTCTGCACCTACTATGATCATATGGGTAGTACCAGCGGCACTATGGTACGTAGGACAGTACTGCACATTTAAACCTATAATCTTAAATAACATATAAAATTAGTATAAAATTGCTGGAAATATAATACAATCGATGCGTTCCGTGTTACGAAATAATCGTAACATGAACATGATAATTATTATTATTATCAATAAGGCGATAAGGTCGCCCATTATTTTCTCATTGTGATTATTTCTTGTAATTGTTTATATCTAGAATAAGTTTACTGTTGTAATCTTTTGGAGGAAACAATAAAGAGTATCTATCTATCTATAATTGGGCGTATCTTATTAATTTCATGAAAGACTACAGTATTAATATAATACGTAACCATTTGTTACGCTTCGCAAGTGTATCTTTATACCTAATCATATTACTGCTGCAACTTTATGTTAGTATGGGACCAATAATGTATGAGTCGGCTTCGCATTTGACGAGTATTCAAAACGGATGTAAAAAATAAAGAAGGTAGTCAGTAATTTTTGCAATTTCGAGTATGCAACTATTACACAAGTTATAAAAAGTACTTATGTGCCAACATGGACCATTTCATTTTCGAAATTACCGACAAACACTATACGTACTACTTTACAAACATGTTTTTTCTTGTATATTCATATTATACTAGATTATATAATAGAAAAAATCGATGACAACATGGTGGGTAGGTAAGCCTGAAATCAATTTCTTAATAAACAGACGTTCATTTTCTTAATTTGATTTTAATATTGATGATTAAGTCGGTAAAGATATGTTAACATTTTATTATGGGCAATTAATTAATTTCATATAGAGAGTAGTTTATATTTCCGAAATTCTTTACCGTTACGTTAGAAAATCTATTTCATTTTTTACTAGGATTTTAAAACGTTGTAACTGCTCTTACTTACTGCATTGTTCAATGGAGGTGATGGGGTGAGGGCATATTATTAACTTTATGATCAAGTAGCTGTATACCGTGGCTTTGCCTGTGGTCATATCATGGGGTTTTTTAATGTATCATAATGGAATGGCAACTTCGCCCGCGTTAATGGTATACGCTGGCGGGGCACCAGTGAGGGATGGCAGGCGAGAATAAAAAGGCAGGTCAGTTGGCCCATCGTGATGAATACACCTGGGATTCAGCACGATAGATTCCAGAGAGATCACGCAAAGATTGACCTAATAGGGTATATTGTTAGCAATGGAACAGGCAGTCCGCATTACTAATAATCTCTTCCGTCCTATGTCATCAAATAATTAATAACCTTCTTTAGGGGGAGAAGGGATTGTTAGTAATGCGGATTATCAGTTCCATTGCTAATAATATACCCTAACAAGTCGACCTCCCCGTGGTCTCCCCTGGAAACCATCGTGCTGAATTCCAAGTGTATTCATCACGATGGGCTAACTGACCTGCCTTTTCATACTCACCTATCATCTATCACTGGTGCCCCGCCAGCGTATACCGTTAGCGCAGGCGGGGTTACCATTCCATTATCATCCATTAAAAAAAAATAACCTTCTTTAAGAAATAAGATATGGAATGCATAAAGATTTTTTGAAATCCGATAGTTCCACATGTTAGCGTATAGTAGTATATGTATATATATATATATATATATATATATATATATATATATATATATATATATATATATATATATATATATATATATATATATATATATATATATATATATATATATATATATATATATACTATACGTATAATAATTGTAAGTAACAGTATGGTAAAGGAAGCAAGTAAGGTATATATGTTATTGCCGTCTAATTATTACTGGCTGCCTCGTACGAAATCAGATATAAAAATAATTAAGTAGGTAGGTAAAGAATTATTACAGTTTCTTTAATTATTTTCAATGTAGGTGCCTTATTTATTATTAAATTAGGAAATTGTCTGAAGTAATGTAAGCCCTTGCTCTTAAGACTTGGGTTACCCAGTTGCGTTGCTGTTATGTTGCGCAACATAATTTCTGTTTCAAAATTTAAATCCGAAAACTGGTGCACTCTCACTCGGAGTACGTTTGCGACGTAAAACCTGATATTACCTTCTCTTTATATAGAGTGCAATACATTTTTGATTTTGTTAGAGTACTTAAGTGATCTAAATACTCAGGCTGTTAGGAATAATGAATCAATAGCTTAGTTCACTAAAAAATGTCCTTGTTATTAATCAATATTGGAACATTATTCTTGACAACATACATATTTTTTATCAACTTTAAAAAGGTGAAATAATTGTGATAATAGTCATTAAGCCTGTTCATTGTTATCATATGGAACGGTCCCAAGCCACTTGCATCCACCGATTCCCTGCAATGGATTTGAGGTGTCGTTCTATCTAGTTGGGGGTCATACTATTCAGCCTTTGCTTATACGGGATCGCTACTTAAAATCCTTTCTTTCCCATCGGTTATCAGCTATATAATCAGCCCATTGCCACTTCAGTTTGTTTATCTTTCGGCCTTTGTCGCCCAATTTGTTTCTTCTGCGGACATGATCATTTCTGATTTTATTACGCAAAATTAACTCCAAGCATAGCCCTCTCCATAGCTCACCGAGTTTTTGCTTAAAGCTTTTGCATATAGGCAACCGTCTAGTTAAGTTAGAATGAACTCTGTCAATTGTATTTTTATCTAAGATGATGAAATATTAGATGAGTAAAATTAATTTAAATACAAATAAGGTTTCTTCAGGATAGGCTACGGTAACCATTTACTATAGAAGTTGTACTTGTTTGCCACCTCAGTGGTATAAAAAAATAAATGTAATAGTGACTATTAGCGAGATCATAGTTGATAAAAAAACCGCAATCTTCATACAATTGTGTATATTTTATTTTACACCGCAATGTGATTATAAAAATGATTCGTCATTTATGTATCGAATTGTTGAAAGCGAAGTCGGTGCATTATTTCGATAATTTAAAATTTCTCTCCATAAAGAGACAGCAGTTGCAATAGTTTGCAAAAACAATAAATCGGTTCAGAATTGATGATATCGCGATGTCTTCGCCATTTTTAGTTTAGTATGTTTTAGTAAAGACATGTGTATAGTAAGTGTAACATATACATAATGATACAGGCAAATTTATGGTATTAAGAATCCTTTCATTTTTAAAGTCCCTAAAAATAACAATTAATTAATTTAAAATAACAATCTGTTATTAACTATATAGCTACTAATAATTTATTATTTATCACATTATTTATGCTTTATACACAAACTCTATAGACACTTTCTCCTTTCGGGTTTTCAAGGTTGACTTGAAGAAATCCCTTTAAAGGATAAATCCGTTTGTGTACTTTTTGGCTATAACCTAATATCTATATTATAAGTGAATGTTCAAAGGCATATAAATAAAATAAATAATTTATCATTAATTGGTATTTTTCTAGTGTTCATATAAATAAGGCAAATAAATTATTTTTTTATGTTTTACGTTAAAAGATACCATCAGAATCAAACACCTGATTCAACAATATTATTCTTCAATGCATATAAAATTTTGCTCTTTTATTTTTTTTTTATTTATTTGTTATTAAGCAATAAATTATTGCGCACAGGAATCTTCACGTCACTAGACGTGAAGATTTTTGAATAATTTACAACTGCTTTTTTAATATTTGAAATCGTACTATTGTCCGACCGGGACCAACCGAATG